TAAGGCACGGGGATCGCTCGGCAAGAACACATCCCCCCATCTTCTCAGAGCCCTTGTGCTCTCCGACGCGCACAAAACAGTGGGCAGTGTATTAGAAGAAGCAGCAGAAGAAGCACAACAGTGGGAGAGCAGCTGAACAAAACACCGGAAGCACCAACACACTGCCTCCTCAACGGGGCGTCCGCAAGCAGAATCAAAACGATACGTGCCCCAGCGATGCGACCACCGACCACAGGGACCCTCAGCAACCAACAGCATCCCGTCAAACCCCTCCCCACCTAAGAACCAATTACTGATACCTGCGTAGTTACAAAAACTCGGCTCGGCTTATGATTTATGGCTCTTCGGCCATCCAGCACCGGCAATCACTAAAACTCGGCTCGGCTCGGCTGATTTGCTTTGGCCTTCCAGCGCTTTGGCCTGTTTGCCTTCGCCTCCCAGCGCTTTGCTCTATCGTCGCTGCCAACACTATTTCGCAGCACCGCTTGCTGGAACTTTGCCAGACGCCCTGGGTAACGCTGCCCAATGTCTCGCAACTGGATCACGTGGCTGGGGGGTGACGGGTGCGAAGATTGGACACAGTTGGGGGAGGGGAGTGTTGGTTGGTAGTTGCATAGATACAGCTCAGAGGGCGCGACTGAGGCCAAATTAATGTAACGGAATGAAGTTGACAGGATTTACTGGAACTGATGCTTAGGTGAAGCTGAGGGCAAATAATTTGGGCAGGATTTATTGAAATTTATGCTTAAGTGAAGCTGAGGCAAATAAGTCCAATTGGATTACACAAGAATTGCAGACAACTCCAGAGTGCTGTCTCTTGCACCCTGCAACTATGCACAACAATTATATCTTTTTTTTGTCTTCAAAATATCACAGTAACAAAGGCTGACCCCAAGACATCCATTCTGCCCTGGTTTTGACCGCTTCATGGGACTTTTCCGCTCTCAGCTTTATCTAAGCATCAGTTTCATGAATAGGGAGGCCTAATGACGGGTTTTTGTGGAACAGCTTTACCTAAGCATCAGTGTCATAAAAAGAGAAATCCCAGAAGTACAGATCCCCATCCTTTCCGTTTTTCGGCGTTCCCTTCTCTCCTCTAAATGTACGTTATTGGTCAACCGGCAAAGGATCTACGCCATTTATTCCATATATCTACCTGTCCTAGCTCCCCTCCCCTGCCACACACCACCCCCTCTTCCCCCCGCCACATTCAAACTACTGCCATCCGCCGTAGGAGAGTCCTACTTGCCGTAGGAAGAAAAAATTTTTTGCGGCTTTT